CTGAGTGAATGTGGTCTGGACTGTGTGGATGAGGCTCATTGTGTCAGAAACGCTGTAGAAGGACAGAGTTCCTGCACTTTGATCCACATACACTCCTATTCTACTGCTGATGGGCTTCACAGGGAGACAAGTCACTATCTTATTGTGTCTGAATGAGTATCTGTCAGGACAGCCAGCAGATCACCAGGAATGATCATTACATCCAAACCAACGCTCATCACCCTCTCCCTTCCTGCTGATGCTCTTATATGACACTGATATATACACACCATCATCTCCACTCCATTCAATCTCCCAGTAACAGCGTCCACACACACTCTCTCTACACAGCACCTGAGGATAAACATTAAATCTGTCTGGATGATCAGGATACGGCTTTTTCTTGTCCAAACATGTCACCTTTCTGTTCTCCTCAGACAGAATGAGTTGAGTGTTTGCTGTGTTTGGATCCAGTGTGAGATCACAGGCATCTGAACACAAGAACAGAGACATTTGTAACACAACAACAATCACTAAAGCTGTGTGTGTGTGTGCGTGTAGACGTACATTTCTTTAGTCCTGCTGTAATCCTGGATTCTCCGCCATGATCCACACTATGAAACACACAGAGTCACATACAGTCAGTAAACAAAAGGCTGTTGCTATGCAGTTACCAAGGTACTCAGGGTGGTTGCTAGAGTATTTGGAGTGGTTGCTGTGCAGTTGATAATGTGTTCTGGGTGGAAAAAAATAGAGACTGATAAAGTCAGTCAGAAGAATGAATGATTTTAAAGGAGACATAGTATGCCCCTTTTTACAATATGTAATATAAGTCTCTGGTGTCCCCAGAATGTGTCTGTGAAGTTTCAGCTCAAAATACTCAACAGATCATTTATTATATCATTTTGAAAATGCCTATTTTGAGTGGAAGCAGAAACACGCTGTTTTTCGGGCCTGTGTCTTTAAATGCAAATGAGCTGCTGCTCCCAGCCCCCTTTTCCAGTTCACATTTCCTTGGTTGGTAGATGCACCGGGGACCTGATTATACCACTAAAAACATGGAAAAGTCAGATTTTCATGATATGTCACCTTTAATTTACAAATTTACTGTCACTCCCATAAACGCTGTATTAGAAACACTCGCTAGTGTTAACTAGGGGGGGTGGTTTTGACGTAAAGGTAATAAAATACAAAGTATAGTGTTATAAATGTACATAAATTTTTTTCTAAATGAAAATATAAAAACTTTGGACGATTTACGATGCTGATGACCGTGGAAACGCGTCATCAGTCTTGTGAAAAGGGTCCATGATTTAGCATGTCTTAGGCTATAGTTGCTAGGCTTTGCTAGTAATGATCAATAGAAAGAAAGATAGCTAGATATGGCCACAGCCATATCACCCTGCATCCCAAGACTGGTTGCCCATTGAAACTAAGCAGGGCTGAGCCTGGTCTGTACCTTGATGGGAGACCTCCTGGGAAAACTAGGTTGCTGTTGTAAGAGGTGTTATTGAGGCCAGCAGGGGGCGCTCACCCTGTGGTCTGTGTGGGTCCTAACGCCCCAGTATAGTGATGGGGACACTATACTGTCAAAAAGCACCGTCCTT